ATGGCGTCAGTAGCCTTCCCCAGAGGGAGGACGTAGCCTGGCTCCTCGCTTGTGGGCTTGCACAATGTCCAGTGCTCACACCTACTATAGCACCTCAGTGTTGTTGGGCTTGCTTTTGTGCTTGTTAGCATAGGTTGTAAGATCCTTATGTTAGAGATATTTTCTTTTTGCTATCCTGGCACAGGACCCTCACACAATGGGCACTCAAATCATGTCTACTAAATAAAGAAAGAATGCATGGAAGAACTCGCCCAAAAGCTGGTGCCAATTTCCTAAAGGGTTTCTAGAAGGACTGCATTTTACCAAATGAAGAAACTGAGTCAGAGTGTGGCAAAAGTGTTAGGTAAATGTCACAGGTAGAATTATAAAGTTTTCATTTCCGTAAATGATTTTACACAGCCCATTCCAGAAAGTGGTTTTTAAGATTTCACTAGAACATGAATAGGGTTGGCCACATGCTAAGACCATAAAAGAAAGTCAAAGTGGACAGGAAAAAAATAAAGCAAAATAAAAATCAATACACATTATGACTGTCCTTCCCTCTTTGTTTTAGTTTTCATAAGAACCTTTAACTGTGGCATTTTGCTGCAGGCAGATAATTAAATTCTCAAAGAGGAGGGAAATGAGATGGATGTTGGGTTTTCAAAGTGAAGTGTAGCATGAGCATATCCACAGCCAATTTACAATCCAGTGGCATATTATAAAAGGAAACTGTTTTAGTGCTAAGTGCTTGGGGACTATGGTCAAATGGGTATACACTGGAAATCCATATCTTATATGCGCTAGGTATATGAACTTGGGCAAATTACTGACCCTCTTCAAGCTTTTTTTTTTATTTTTTCAATGGAGACAACAGTAGAATGTATCTCATCTAGCTCCTGGGAAACTTAAAGAGATAACCTATGTAAAGTATTCAGTAACCATTAGCAAGCCAAACAAGATCTATCTACAGCTCATTTAAGAACCTCAGATGGGCCAGGTTTGCCATCCTGTGCTACTTATTTTAATGTCTAGAGGTTTACTTGGTCATTAAAAAACACACTCAATACTTTTAGTGCTACAGAGCCTTGTAGGATTAAATGTATTTGTTTAATCTGTAAGTTAATTAAAGGGATGAAAAATAATCAGGGCATGGGGAATAAAAGAACTATGCTTTTCTAAGATTTCCCTATGCAGCATTAACGAAATCTTTAGAAAGTTTGGGGTGGGAGAGACTTCTTTCTCTCTTTGGGTTTAGGATCCTTAGCATTTGTTTTTTTTTCACATGTATATCAGAATTTAAATTGGAACTAAAGAACAAGATTGTTGAAGATTCAACTCATGTTCTTAGAATCAGAATGGACATAAAGGTCATCTGTTCTGATTTCAAATCCATTGTAGGAATTTCCTCCATATTTTATTCTGTCCCTTCTTCCAGTCATGGGATATTCACATTCTAAAATTCCTCCTCCATTTATAACATTTATAATTATTAATTAAAGGCCCAATGCATGAAATTCGTGCAAGGGTAGGCCTTCCTTCCCTAGGCTGCCAGCACCAGCTTCCCTCTGGCACCTGAGACATGAGCTTCCCTCGCAGCCCTGGCTTCATCCAGAAGGTCATCCAGAAGGATGTCCGGAAGGATGTCCAGTATAATTAGCATATTACGCTTTTATTATTATAGGTTTTTAATCTTTACATAAGCTTTAGAAAGCTTACTTTTCTCCCCTGTATCTCCTACCCATTTGTTCTCAATCATCATGGCTCAGCTTAACAGTTCAACTGGACCCTTAGTGATGTTTCTCCCCAATGGGAAGTCTACCCAGAAAACCAAATGAGTGTCAGAGGATTTCATGTAAACTTATTAATCAAAGAAGATAAGCATTTTGATCTTAAGTGAACAGAGCTTAATATGGTCAACCTCCATATCAATAGAATATTCGCCAAGAGGACTTAAACATTTATGTTTGGTGGTCAGAAAACCTCTTCTGGGCACCTACAGGCAATCTACACTATTAGTGAGCCCTGGTTTAGGAAAATGCTAAGGTTTTCTTATGGACTTAAATTTCTTATTTTTCCAGTCAACTGCTCTCAATTAAACTACTTTTACAAATAGTTATTTTAGACTATAAACCAAAAGAAGAATTCTGTTATCCACCCATCTGTTTACATTTAATTTCAAGCTATATTTTGTCACTCTTTTCTTAAGATATCATGCATACCACCTTGAAAATATTACCTCTATATGTTATAATATAATGTATTGGGTAGATATTTCCAGAAATGCTACTTAATTCCAACAATGTGGCCCCAAAAATCCTCCTGGTCACTTCAACTAGACTTAGTTACTTCTCAATTTCCATCAGCATCAATTTTCAGGATGTAATTTCTCCTGGTTTAGTTTCTATAAATTGTAACTTCGATTATTGAAGAAGCCATTTTTCAGAGCTTACTCTCCAGGGTCAGAAAGCCCTTATAAAACTTACCCACCCACCCCTTCAAATAAGCAACTGAATCCTAACTCTAATTCATTTCTATTTGTCTTTAGGACTTTTGTACCTTTCTTGTGATGCCATTTCCTTCCAAAGAGCATCTAATAATCTGATGTTAACCCCTTGATCAATCAGAGACCCACCATAGCACATTGTGGTTCTAAAGTATCCTTTCCTCTTGCTTCTTCATGCATTGCCCTAATCCTATCAAGCCACACCATCTCTCTAGCAAGGTTTATTCAGGATGCAATTTCACAGGCACTCGCATGCAGCACCAGCTTTCTGTAATGCAATGCAGGTAGAGGAGGTAAAGGTTATCCGATATACCCTTATCACAGCTAGAAGTGGAAAGAATCATAGGATACATTCTGAAAAACAAATCAAAATGTAAAAGACCCATCATCTCTCAGTAGGCAAGATGCCCTGTGTTGACCATCACTCAGGACCAAAAATTCAAGTAACTCCCATCCTTCTAGGAAAAATGCTAGCAGAGACAGTGGTGGGCTCTTCTGAAAAGCATCCAAGGAACATCAAGAGTCAAAGAACACCATGAAGAGAATTTACCAACCACAATTGCTACAATTTTCGCTTGCCCTAAATAGCCACCAATTTCCCCATGCCCTAAATAGCCACCAATCTCCCTCTCTTTACTGTTAATGAAGCAAAGGAGCACAAAAGTATTTCTAATTTGGAGGAGCCAAGGGAGTCTGCATGGGCCATTAGCAGCAGAGAGCTTCATTACTAGGGGAAGAAGTCTCTCCCTGAACTTCTCATGGTTTTATGTGCAAGAAATCAGGAGGCAACCAGTCCATTTTAAATGTTAACCCTTCCCTCTGCATCAGCAACAGCTCCTGTGTACAATCAAAAAGACAAAAGAACTGCAAACCTTTCCTTTTATCCTCCCTGTTCAATGAGGTGCCTTAATTTTTGTTCTTTTTTTAAATGCCCAAGCTGGTTTTTAATTAAGCAATAGTTTCCTTTAGAAAGATAGCACTGTCTGTGCACTTGATAAAACTTCCAGCCTATGTACCAATTTACAATACTAGTTGCATAAACAGTTACGTACGTTAGTGCCCATGTACTGTGTGGAACTCTTGAATGGATGCTGCCCACACAGGATTTGTTAGGCAATCAACAATACCAAGGAGGACAAATATTAACACTCTGGTTAGTGTTTACCGTTAGCTTACTTTTCCGGAGGGTCCATATCGCTGTATTAAGACAAACACTGCACTGAGCTCTAAATGCTCTCAAATTTGGAACAATTGTGAAATAAACACTCTGTAATTACACATCTCCTAAGCCAGACACATCATCATAACTAGCCTTAAATGGTGCTGCTAGCATATTCTGGATGTGAGGGCTTGCTGCTGATGCTTCCATCTTTTACTTCCCGAAGAAAACAGAATTGAAATTTGGAGCACAGCCAACGGATTGTTATAACACAGTCTGGGCTGAATGCCCTTTAAAAATACACTGGGCTCGTAACAATCCTTGTCAGAAAAACAGCATCCTACCTGCAGGTCTGCCACCATCCAGTGATATTTTATGTGTGTCAGTTAGCTTTTTTTTATATACACTTTTTGATTGAGGTACACTTAAATATATCTCCTTCTGAAAATAAATCTAAAAAGAGGAAAGAAGCCACAACATTCAGTCTTTCTCCTAACCTTGTAATAATCCTTAAATTCACATAAAAAAAAAAATACAGGACTGGGAGGCAGAGAGGCAAAAGCCATATGATTTAATAATCCTTGTGTTTCTGACAGGCAAACCCTGAGATCACTCCTCCATGACTTTGCAGATGTATAATTCCGCGGGTTATTTTTCAGAGTTGGTTAAAGAGAAAATAGTTTATTATAGACAAGCCCAAGGCCAGAATCCACCTACCACCTCCTCAAACATAGTCCCTACAGTTTTTGCAACACACTTAGGACAATACTTCTTGCTTATTCTATCTTAATCCATGACGAGCAGCAACAGATGTCTGTCATCCTACCTAACATGATCCTTCCTATACCATTGCATCTCTTC